GCAATTTCTGTGAGTGGAACAAAGAAAGATTATTAAAATGACAGTTGTCAGAGTGAAAAGTTTCAATGACACAAATGTCACTATTTCTTGTTCCTTTATAAATGTCTAATGGAAGTTGTCTTTATCGCACCCATATAACCTAAGTTGCAATCAAAAATGGAGCAATCTGTATACAATTTTTTCGTGGAAATATGTAAATATATTCACAATATTCCTGGAGTTATCGAGAATAAATTTCGGGGGATTTGGAGATACTTGTTGTCGAGGAAATCAATTACTATAGTGAAACAGTTTCTTTCGACTTAATTCCATTTTCTCAATCTTTTGCAACTTTTAAGACTAGTGTCCAGATGTGTGCGAATAATCCTTTTAAATTCAAACGTTATTCGCGGAATCGTGTTATGATAGAACAAATCGATTTTCGTTAAACACACAAATTCTTCGAGTGAATTTACTCGCAAGTAGTTGTTAGATCGACAATTGAGGAAGGACCGAACGGGGCTCGTTTTCCATGAATAATGGATCTTCCAGCCCAAACAAGTTTCCTATCCCGTTTTTCCGAGGTCCGGATAATAAAGTCTCACTCACGGATTCGTCCGATTATTCATTATGTAGGAAACCTTAGTCATAAATTCCTCCTCTCCTTCTAATCGGCTGTTTTAATTAAAATAATTCGCGCGAAAAGTGCATCATCGGAGTTGTTTAATTCGCCCGTTGCAAAGTTGATGGATGTCTTTTAATAAAATTCGGGCAAAACGTTCCGGGAAAATTTAAGCGACCTTAATAAAGGACGAGCGCGACATTATTTTCACGGGCACACGTTAAATTTCACGGTAAATTACTCGTTATTTTACCGGAGTCTTCGGAACTGATACTTAGACGAAATTCCTTTGTATAACGTGCAAATCGTAACTCAGACTCTCTCCTCTTCGTTGGCCTTCTTCACATAAGGAACGGGACAAATTGTCTCGCCTATATCCTGTCTTAAAAATTATTTGTTGCAATTTTTAATTAAAAATTACTTATAGACGTGAAGAAAGGTTTTGTTTCTTACTGTATCTTGCGGAATATAAAGAGAGCTTTTAGATTAAACGCAAACAAAACGTCTCCGTGCTGATTTAGCTTATTAAACCGTACTAAATCGATAGAAACTGCTTGTTTTCTTCTAAACTAAACCCATCTAACGCAGATTAAACGGGACATTTTCAACGCTATTTCCCCACCGAGCTGCAGCAAGAGTACATATACATTAGCATAGAATAATCCTAGGTAGGTATCCGCCCGCGGACTTGAAGAATATTTAATTAGAAAATCTGAAGATTAACAGAAAATAGCAATTTGAACGTGGGATAATACATTTTGATTAGTCAAAGTGCAATAAAATTCAAAAGCACTGCGGATGAAATTCATCGTGCATCGCGTGCGATGTATTAATGTAAAACTGCGGGAATGCAATTTTTATTTTCTATACAACGCTGTGATTTCGCTATAATACCGTCTGTTATTTACAAACAGAAATGCAGAGAGAAATAAAACGGAACGTTCCGTTTTGTCTGCGATATTTTATTTTGATGGATTAAAATGTTTGTAATATTCGCTTTTGCATTGTTATTTTAAATATGTAGTTTATAAGATTATGATAAATCAATAACCATTTTTTGGAGAATTACCTCTCCATTTTTAATTAAAATATTCAAGCTACTGATGTGTTATTAAAAACTCTAAGAACAAAAGCTACAATTTGCCGAGTAGAGAAAATAAAGAAATTTGTATTTACCTACTGCAGGACTCTGCAATTTCCTCTTTCATTAAAATTAATAACCAGTCTGATAAATAAAATATAAGAATCTACATTCAATCAATAGCTGAGCTAGCACATTTTCTTTGGCACGGATAATGTTATCTAATAGTAGAAAAAACGTAGTAGATATTCTAAGTGAATTTCCTCGGATATTTACTTTTTCCCTTAAAAAATATACGAGATTTTCTCGGCTATTCTTATTACACGGTAATCGCCTTATTGGCGAGGCCCTTCGCCCTATTCCTGTCCTATTTCCACCCGAAATCATTCATTCGTTTCGGCGTCAATATTTGCTCAAAAGACGAGACACTTGTCTCAGAATTCGCCCGATTCCGAAAAGGTCGTTTCACTCGGCAAACATCCATAAATTCTTTATGTCACACCTTAATGAAATTCCTGATATATAATATAAGTCGCCCGTAAAAAAAGGGACTTTTCCCTATACTATATCTTTCACTTATAAATAGTAAACTTTTTTAATTGCAGCGCACGAGTAGGGTAAATTTATCACATTTTATGCTATCAAAAATGTTTTGGTTATGAAATTTTCATGCATACTTATTAGTTCCTCGTTAATTACCGGGCCCTTTGGAGCGCCCTTCAATGGTAATCTTCCTGACACATTTCAGATTGAATGCCGAGTTGACCCTTTCGCGTAACGGATTTTATGGGACAGTAGATTTCGTACGAATAGAGATAATAAAATAAACCGAAAAGGTCCTAAACAGGAAATTACTCTGTGTCGCCTTCAGATAATGCCGCAGGTCTATTTGTATGAAATTGTTAAAACCTATTTTGCGGATTTAATAACGTCCGGGAATACATTTTAAGGGGATTTTACGGTCGGTCGAATTGCGTTGTGATTACGCTTGTTAAAAATATAACAAATTTTCGGTTTATTTCGTTTATTCACGTAACTATACTGATTACTATTCAACTATTCATCGAGTAGATTTAGAGTAGATTCGGAATAGGTTCCTAATACAGAGTAGAGTCAGAGTAAAGTGGAGTATAATAGAGTAAAGTAGACTGGGGCAAATCGGTTATAAAATTTGAATAGTTCAAATTAAATCGAAAAATGTGGCTTTATTTTTTCTCTTATTAGAAATGTTGATACCACATTAAATTCACAACTTCCTAAACTAAAGAATCGAGGTATTAAAAAGTTTTTTTGAAAAAGAAAGAAAATTATTTTACATATTTAGAAACGGTTCTAAAGGGCAATACAATTATATAGAAAAACATATGGGGCAATTGTAAAAAACTATTTGGTTCCTCTAAAATTTGATATGTTGTTTATTTATTTAATTCAAAAAATAACAGAGCTACAAAATAATAAAGAAAAAATAAGAAACAAACCTTGTCTAATGCACAAAAGAACTATAAAAATAATAAAAACATTAACATAATAGGTAAAAATATTACATTTACCCAATTTTTACATTTGCCCCAGTCTCCCTTATAAACAAAGATATTTTATATAATTTTTTATGCAAAAAATTAACCCATTTAATCCATTAAATTCGCCCAGTATTGAGTATTTAATTAACATTCGTTAAACATGTGGATTGATTTCAAAACGTCAAAATAGATCCCGAGCGAAATCGCAGTATTTAATTACATTATTATTACCGGACTGTTGCCATCACGTTCCCACCATTTCAAATCGAACATTTCCTCCTTTCTGGTCCAACGTCGGAACGAGAACAGATTAGCAAACATCATCGGTCAATTGCCGATGTCGAAACGTACGAAATACCCTCATAATATATCCCATTTCCATCCGATGCCGGATATTGACCTTCGTCGGGGATTCACCGCGATTGTGGAACGCCATTTCCACTCAGTGTACATTTGCGACCGCGGATTTCGATCGAGAAATGATAATTAATGTAGCAAACGATGGGCTAACAATGTAATCTTAGATCGGATCGCTGCATCGTAATTTTCGCCGGCGTTTCTGCGAGATTTCACAGCGATTTCGCCCCGTTATAGAGGGCTTAATCGCTAACAATCAAACTCCGGACTCACACCGAACTATTCTACACCTATTATGGACTTATCAATTTCGATAATGGCGTTTAGCCGAGCTGTTTCTGGATCGGTAATTCCAATGTTATTCTAATATTCAATTTGCATACCTATTTATACACATTAAAACTTTCCTATACAGGGTGTGCCTATCAAAAGATAATAGAGTTGTTTCGTACAAATTTGTATACCAATCTTCCTATATTCTTATAAAGATTTACAAGTCGACGGCTACTTGTAAATAACAATTTGATAGAAAAACGAGATCGAGCGACATCAAATGGCCCATGAAAAAGAGACGCGAGCAAAAGAAATGCGCAATAATGAGAGGATCGAAAAATAATAAAAAAAATCCTTTGAAATAAGTTACCCAACGGGATGCGAACTTCGTTACGAGTAATCAGGAACATTTTCTTTGTTTGTTCCACCAATTAACCTTTTCGTGTACAGTGCTCCTTTTATTGCTTTTAATCTCTTAACTTCTCTGTTGTTTTTGCTTGCACTTCAACTCCATTATTAATTATGGCGTTCTTTTCGTTCGCATCAAACCGAACGATATATGAAATAGTCATCATCACTAAACGCTTTCATCTATAACAATCAGCGCGTTCCCTCCGGCAAATAGAAAGATAAATTTCGCGAAGACAACTTCAAATTGAGATAAAATAGAAAATGCAACTTCCACAAAAATCTCTTCTTCGTACTCTAATTATTAATTCGAAATCTCCCGTTTTGCGTGCGATATAGTCAGCACAACAAATCGAATTAGATTTCTGGCTCTATTACGATAAAATTGCCGGGATTCGAAAATCCGGAAAGAGGCGATATTTTATCGGTTTTGACGGAAACCTCGGGAGGTTTTGGCGTGTTCCACGTACAGCGGATCCGTTCCGGGATTGTCGGGGAATCAGAAACAGGACGAAATAAAGAATGGATTCGCGTAATGGATATGTATCGCCAGGTGGATGAAATTGAAATTTAAATCCGGCCGAAATAAGGAGGAAAAAACGTGTCTAAGGGACGATGTGACATGCTTTGATGGAGGAAAAATTCGTACGATTTTGTATTCTGTTTAAGATAATCGATATACGAATTCGAAAATAAAAGATGGAGGTAATGAAGTAGTTAATAGAGCACAAAAGATCGAGTAAAAAACCGCAATAAAAAAATGTTACTAATCACAGAAGATGAAGTGGGTAGGGAAAAAGAGTTTCATTTTCCATTTCCGCTCCGCGAACGTTTCCACGGTATTGGTTTTAGCACCTCCGGAGCGGAAATGATTATTTTCTGATATCTCCGATATTTTATTTGTCGAAAAATACCCGAGTCGAAAGGCGGATAAAGTGAGTTATTATTGGCATGTCATCGGGAACATTAAATCCCCATCGATTGACTTCGGGCACGAACTTTATTGCGATAGTTTTTTCGGGGAGAGCGAAAAGCTGAAAATAATTACTTCTCCTTAGGGAGAGACGTTGCGGTTATTTCGAATGTCCCGTAAAGTTTCCGAGTTCCTTTCGTTTACTCCTGCTCCGTTCTAGTTTTATTTCAGAAGGATAGCTAAAGAGATAAATGACGTTTCGGTTCTTCGGAAACTTCTTCAGATATCTTCAAAACGCATGAGGAATCCTACCGATAGTTTTGGTTGTTCTAACGAAACCGAATGATGTTTTAATATGAAATGTAATCCCACGTATTATCAATACAAATGTAATTTTATGCATATTAAATAGTGCTTTTAATTATCCGTTTCGGAGCATAATGCATACACTTTAGTGGAATAATCTAACCCATTAATTACTAGGAACATTTCGTATTACCCGCGTACGTTTGTTAACGTGTTTGTTAAGCATATTACGAATTTATACTGTTTACAAATCATTGTTATTATTTAGTACTCTATTGATTCTATACTAAGCAAAATTCAATACGTGCAAACCATCAAAAGAAACGATTCCTAATTAATAGTTAATACGATGAATTCCCATTTCGTCCGGCCGAAATTTGACAAATAATTTTCTTATTTTCTGCGGGAGAAATCGCGGCGAGGGAAATCGAATTTTTCACATGATTTCCGCAACAAAAAAAAATTACGGAGCAGCAACAGCGTGCAAAATTAATATAAAAACCTCGCATCAAGCGCGCGGGAGACAAATGGATTTTGTTTTTGCTCTAGATTTTCCATTATCTCGCCGGCCTTTCTCATTTATTACTTTTCCCGGTGATCGGCCGATTTCTTTTGATCTCGACTAACAGAAAAATTCGGAATACACACAACAACCGCTGAACAACAACTGAATATAATACTCCAAAGGGAATCTAGAATAAATTTTCCTTCATTTAATTCCAACCCGCTAAATTATTTATCTCCTTCTTTTTGAATATTATAAGTGAGTGCTTTTATTCCTTCTTTCTTTTAACTAGTTTATTCAATTTTATTATTACGGTTTGCTTTTACTCTATTTAATACAAACAATCGTACAATATTTTTTTATTTTTACTCCACGCAGATTAGAATGTTTTCACACATCCTTTCACCTTGTGTGATAATAATCATTATCAATACATTTTTTACGATACAAAAAATAAATTAATCCCACGGAAATAGGCAAATATTTGTATTCAAAACTTATTGAAGATTACAGCAGAATATATCACCACCTTAATTAAACGATAAAATAAATTCCCTTACACTAGCACACTTAATATTTGCTCCGACAATTCCTTAACCCAAAGCCCTAGTCTTAATAGTTCTCGACTGCTCACTTTCAGTGATGGAGCTGGTTCTCGAAAGACTTTGAAAATTAAGATCCGTTGAAAAGATCGACCGAAATGCTCGAACGCTCTTCAAACTCGTGTCAAAGGATATCTCGTGGCCTTTTATAATATGGGTTATACCGTGAAACATATCACCATATACTGGAGGAAAATTCGCCGTGGAAATTGCCGGCGAGGAGTTTCGTCTTATTGGATAAGTTCCTCGCGACAATTTGCTTAGAATTAACGAGTCATTATGTGATAATAACATCGCTTTAATTGTATGAAAAAGTTGAGCTCGAGGAACGAGTTTTGAGTAATAATTATTGCAACAAAATCTTTAACTTACTGGAGCTTATCGAAGGTATTTTTTCGTCTTATATGGGTTCGGTCGTTTTCTTGTCATCGAGATTACACAAGCGGATAAATGGTTTTTGCACCCGGGTTAGCGAACAACTCCTCGAACAGAAATAATCTACGGAATTCACACTCGACCAATTTACAAGGAACTAATCAATTGGAAAGTAGTCGCCGATTTCGAGACCCGGTGGAGATTCGATCGCGCAAACTTGCCCGATAAGTAATTTTCTTGTTAACTACGACCCCTTCTGGTGTAGAATTCCACGATATATGTAAGTAATAAGTGTATAAATAGCGCTAGTTAATAAAAAAAAAACCGTGGAATCGATATTTCTTTAAGTCTCTCCCGAGTGTCTCCACCGACCCGGCTCTATTTTCTGTTTGCATGTTTAAAATTGAGCACAGTAGCGTAAAGAAAACGATCCGGGTATTTCCCTTAGAGCTTTCTTTTTTATTTTCCGATTTGGTAATTCGGAATAATGATAGGAAGTAGGAAAATGTTCGTTATTTTCCTTATTTCGAATGCTGAATCACGGGGATCAAATGGATGGTTTTTAGTTGTAACCATTTTGAATATTCATAATGTCGCGTAGAATTTGTAAAGAGTTTTATAGGAGATTCTAATTGATTAAATTTTATTTTATGAAACTTTGAGGTTTGTAGGCGTTTCTTATCGTCGAAACAAGCTTGAAAAATATTGTTGATGCATCGAGGTTCACTTGTGGTTTGTAAATGCAATATAAGAAATTGAAAACAGTATCGTAAAATTCATTATTTATTTATACCCAGTGAGTGTTGTACAGAAAGAACACATTTACTATAATAAAAGTAAGTAAACTTTTGATAAGGTAGACTGGGGTAAATCGATTGTAAAATTTGAATAGTTCAAATTAAATCCTAAAATGTGGCTTTATTTTTTCTCTTATTAGAAATGCTGATACCACATTAAATTCACAACTTCCTAAACTAAAGAATCGAGGTATTAAAAAGTTTTTTTGAAAAAGGAAGAAAACGATTTTACATATTTTTTAAAATGTTGACAATATGTTACATTTACCCCATGGTACGGGGTAAATGTAACAAACGGTTCTAAAGTGCAATACAATTATATAGAAAAACATCTGGGGCAATTGTAAAAAAATATTTGTTTCCTCAAAATTGGATATGCTGTTTATTTATTTATTTCAAAAAATAACAGAGCTACAAAATAATAAAGAAAAAATAAGAAACAAACCCTGTCTAATGCACAAAAGAACTATAAAAATAATAAAAACATTAACATAATAAGTAAAAATATTACATTTACCCCATTTTTACATTTGCCCCAGTCTACCTTACTTTTTTTATTGTTTCAAATGTTATTTACTCTTTTAAATAAGAGCTTTATAATATCCAGATTTGGTAGTAATTTTTAATTTTTCCAGAATGTTGAATGTAACAGTACAAACCCCTCTGGGCACGACTCACACAATCGAAGTTCAAGCAACCGACACGGTATCGGATTTGAAAAAGAAAATCTACGATAAGGAACTGGTTCGCGCGGAAAAGCAACTTTTACGCGTGGAAAACCTGGAATTATCCGACGACACCAAAATCTCCGACGCCCATATCGGTCAAAACATCGTAAAATTAGTCCTAAAAAACTGATGTATCGATAAATCCAACGAGCGGAATAAATTAGTATTTAGAAGTGCGATTAATTTCATTTAGTCCCGGGCGATTTTTCAACGCCCGAATCCTCCCGTCTGGAGATTCGATCAAATTTTAATCAGCAGAATAGAAATTCGCGGCTCGATTTTTCACGCAGATCTGCCGGGAACAGAATGCGAAATCGCTTAGCCTAATTCCGAAGCCGTGTTCGAGATATTTAATTCAAACGGTCCTAAAAGGAATTCGAAAATTGATCGCGAAAATAATCCGATCAAATAAAAACAATCCCGACGTCCTACATTGTTGTAAGAAAACAGGAATTGTAATCATTTTCCGAAGTTTAAAATAATGAGCCGCATAGCGGCTATACTTTATTAGATCTCGACAGCGCTATAGAAGGAAATTGTACGATTTATACCTTAGCACGTAGCATTAAAGCTACATTTGCATAACAACTGGAAAAATATTTACACGTTCCTTCTGCGAAAAGTTGCAAAATTTACGAATACACGAGAACCTAATAAAATCCCTACAACTTTCAGAGCATTCCCAAGTTTTGCGCTGTTACCATACAATACAATGGGCATAAAACTGCTTTATGACGCTGTTTTCATTATAAAGCATTATAAAACTTTATTCGAGCAACAGATGTAAATTTGAAATGCTGTTTAGAAAAAAATCCCACACACGTGGAATTGAAACGAACGGAATTTAATATTGCCTAATTCGAGGAGTTTCTAATGAAACGGTGTATAGGTAGAATTCGCGGAATATCATTAGGTTCTCGCAGTGGGCAAAAAAGTTTAATAAGAAAGTTAAAACGGAGAACTTGAATGGAATTAATGCGATCAGTTATGCGGAAAACGCGGAGGATTTCTGGAATTCCCGGCAGAAAAAATCCGAAACTTTTCGACAGTTATTACTACCCTACAGCAATTACTACTCGCAGAAATGCTATTTTATATTCAAATTTATTTAATTACCGCAGGTGATTACCTAGTTTAGTTCATTTATATTCCTTGTTAAACATCGATTCGGCTGATTAAAAAACACGTTTAATTTCACACGTATAGGTAATTAATTAAATTTGCCGATGGAAATAAATATTTCACTAATATCCTTTATAGCGTTGGATGTTAATGAGATTTACAACTCCTGCAATTACACGGCTATTTGTATTTAACAAATAATGGTATATGCTAAGGTCCTTCCGAGTTCCGAGCATTAAACACCGCTAGATAGAACAGAAGCTTTAAAAAGTAAATAAATTAAGATTTTCCAGGAATTAAATGGGATTTCCATGCACCAAAAGAATGCGTTATACGAAACATTCGTTACTTTATTAGATTAATTTATGAGTGTACTATTTTAAATTTTATTCTACTATAAATAATGTAGCTTGGCAGTTGGATGTGCTATAGCAAAATTTAGCACATCAAAGCTACATTGAACGAGGTATATTTAGCAACACAACAGCCTTGTAATTATTATCTGCAGAGGCGTTTCGTTTTGTATATTATTATGCTAACGAAACAGGAGCGAAGCCTTTAAATATATTTGCGTTTAGAGCGGAGAGAAAAGTTGATTTCAAACAAATTATTTTGCGGAGAGAGGACCTCTCGCGGACGCTTTATCTCGCCCAGCTTTTGTCCCGAAAGTCACTTTTTAACGGCGAAGAGGAACTGACGCGATAATGGAAGCCCGATAATGAAATTTTCGGCCCGAAAAACGCTTCGGCAATGAAATCGTTTTAAAATTTCTACAAAGGATTTAACGAACGCATGTATGATGGACTGAACATTTAAAATTTTTATTTCTTATACTTACTCTGTGCTAAAATTTGTATCTTCTTGCAAGGTTCCTGAATTTTCAGTTGCTTGTTAAAATTCGCAATTAACAGCATTGGAAAATTGACTGCATTCGGTTCTTGATTAACGGCGTTTCGAAAATACACACCAAGCTTGTTTTAATTAAAAAAAAGTCCATTTTCGGTAATTCTCTCGAAGTGTATGAGTACAAGGGAGCGATTTTTCTTTACTAATGAATAAACAGCCCACCATAAATCACAATAGAAAATTTATTTGTACTCATACGATTTTAAAGCTTGTTAAATTCGACTATAAAAATCTAGATATCTCTCGATCAAATAGCTTTGATGTAATTGGGTAATTAATTCAGCATATTTCATCGAATCAAAAAAGATGTTATTATATATAACATCAAGCTCGCTCCGAATAGCTTAAAGTCCATTCTGTAAAGTAATCCCGTTATAATAGTTCGAAATTTAATATTGTTTAGCAGGATGAAAGGCAACAAAGAAGCATCTAAAGCTTAATTAAACATTAATTGATGATAAAACCGCGGTCGGTTCGTGCTAAAAGCTTCGATAAAATAAAAAATAAAAAATGTAACCGACTTCGAATGCTTCCATTTAATTATCCCTTTGCGTGGAAAAATCTATATCTATCGCCATATCGGCGGAAATTGGAAATAATTGATTTATAAAAGAGTACCTTCTAATACATAATTTATTAATAATCCCCGAAATCAAATTATTCACATTTAGCGCGTTTGTTCGAATAATATATCCGAATTTGAGCGGCATAATCCATTGTTTGCCGAATTTGCCGATGCATTAAAATAATTTGTTAATTTATTTCTCGCATTGGATAAATATTGCGCGTAGGTGAAAAAATTTAATGGATATTCCGCAATTGGTCCGAATATATTTATTTATTTCCACTTGTCAAATGCACAAATCATTCCGTTTAATATCTATAATTGATTTATACGATTTAAAAATGAATAAATCAATCGAGGCGTCCCCGGAATGTGGACCGATTAATTACGGGCGATTATAAACAAATATACAGAAGATATAATTATCTAAGGGGATGAAATTTAAATTTAATTTTGCGAATTTACTTGATAAATGAGTTGCAGAAGTAGGTTGTGGGAGCCGAAGGCGAGGATTTGTTGCAAAAAAAAACTCTTGGAATTCATTAAGGAGGTCACCATGATAAATTGGACTTCTCAAAATACAATTAAACTCGATTCGAGGACGATAAAGGGAGTTAGAATGAAAATTAACAATACTCTAATTACAAATAATTGATAAATATCTATCAATAACGAAGTTGGATCTTATTAAATAAGAAATGTATTGGTTTGAATGAAAGTTAAAAAAAAAATCTTTGTGTATAATCTGCTGTTATTAAATGAGATAAAGAACGAGAATCGAGTCGTTTCAAATTGGTTAGATATTTTTAATACTCGAGTAATCGATAGTAAGAATTTCTCGAAGAGAGACACAGACCCCAAAGCTCAAAGTTCGAAATATCTGTCTGAATATTAAACGCTTTAAAATTGAAACTTTCCATTCGATCAATGAGAAACTTTTGATTAGTTTCCTGCTCTTAAAAGATTTTAAATGATATTTCCAATATCCGGAATTCAAACGTTTCGTTATTAGTTTTTTCGAGCGACGATTTGGAGCAGTCTCGACAATAATTAATCTCGCCTCTAATGGCATTTATGTACAAGAGAGCAAGTATGGGAACTGATCGCACTTAACCAAATTGCATTTGGGCAGGTAGTCAACTCTCATTCCGTCAATCCGGATCCATTATCTAGGTAGGCGTTACAGCTTAGCGGAGCTTTCGAGCTTAATTTTTTACTTTTTCGTTTTATTACATCTTCATAAGGCTGTGTAGTTTGGCTGAAGGATTATTATAAAGAGGGGCTTTTTGTATTTTATGCGTCAATCAAAGCGGACGGACAAATTTTTAATGAGTCCTTTTATTTCGTCCTTAAATCGCGTCATTGTTCCGTAATGAGGTGAGATAAAGGAAGCTTTTCGTTCGCGAACTTTTCGCCGCTATCTTTTATTTAACAGCGTTTTGTAGACGAGCGAACTCGAATGGATGTGGTGGAACTTTCGCCTAATTATTTACTGCAGTTTTTTCGCTTGTATTTGTTAAAAAAATCGCGCAAATACAGCGCAGATCGCGCTTTGAAATATAACATAACGATCGAGGAAATGTTCTCTTTGAAAGGTTCTCAACAACGAAATTTCGCCAGAAATTCGTCGCAAATCCGGATAAATCCGATTTATAGCAGCTTTGGAAATTGAAAGACACAGTATAATTACCTAAATCAGGCGCGTCCTGCTTATAAACGCTAATCCTTTTTCTCATAACTTGTTCCCGCCGCATTAACTTCACATCCTCAAAGCGAGTGGATGTGTTTCTAATTACATTTTACGGACTTACCTGCAACAAAAAAATTATAATTAATTAAATTAAAATATTATAATGAATTTTATGCAGAAGGAGAACGTTCTTATACCAAGTTCTTATGCCATTTAAGAGGATTATTAAGAGTTTAATTTCACCATTTTATTCCTGTTTAGTAATGATTTGATTGCGTGTAATATACGCCACTGAATAGGGGTTAAATGTCTGTATATAGCGGATATGCTATATTTATAGAGCTGTTATTATCACTGTAAACTTTCATACGACCATAAACTCTTTTGACAAATATTGCGGTTGGAATTGTTGGCCGGTAAAACATTTCGTTTAGCTCTAACTGGGAATCGCCTAAATCAACTGTAAACGTCTAACTGCAAGAACTCTATATCCCGTTATATTTTCGCGCAATATCCGCAATTGGGGGGTCGAAATCGACCGATAGAATGGTTGAAATTGTTTTGAGGTTTGTGCTATTTGCCTAATATGTTTCGAAATGTTCGAAATGTTGATGATTTTGCGAGTATTCGATTTTATTAATGGGTAAATATTACCCATTTGTTTACGTAAGGATCTCTATTAGTGTGTATATAACGAGGAAGCTCAAAAATATTGAAAAATTACGTTAATATGATAAATATACATGTTTTTTTCGCTTTGTGCGGGAAGTGGGGACGCTTTAAGATGCGTTCGATGATACATTTACGTCAAAATTGACATTAGCGTCAAAATTTAATAAAGGTGGGATTGATTTTTTGGTATAGAGGTGCAGTAGCGACTGTTACAAAATAACCGTTATTTTTT